GGTCTGTACAGTAGAAAAACCATTACGCCTATGGAGAGCCCCCACAAGGATAGCAAACCAGACGTGTGTGTGTGTGTGTGTGTGTGTGTGTGTGTGTGTCTCACCCTGACAGGCCCCTGAGCGGTGGTTGGGAATGAAGCCGCGGCGGCAGGGGTGTGGTTGTGCTGGACACTGCTCACACGGATGACCCCAGGCCCGTCCTACCGTCGCACAGCACAGTGTCTTAGTGCAGACGATTCCCGTCAGCTGACCCTGACACATCTGGTTACTGACCGACGCGAAACACGGCCCCGTCCTGTAATCTGGAGACACACAGAACATGTTTAACACACTAATGCAACACTTTGTTTACATGACATCTGTGACCCTGGAGCACAAAAGCAGTGTTAAGTCGCTGGGGTATATTTGTAGCAATAGCCAACAATACATTGTATGGGTCAAAATTATAGATTTTTCTTTTATGCCAAAAATCATTAGGATATTAAGTAAAGATCATGTTCCATGAAAATATTTAGTAAATGTCCTACCATAAATATATCAAAACTTAATTTTTGATTAGTAATATGCATTGCTAAGAACTTCATTTGAACAACTTTAAAGATGATTTTCTCAAATTCATTTTTAAAACATTAAAAATACTAGACATTTAGAACAGTCAGAAATAACGTTTTCATAACTTAATGGGAACGTTAGCAAAACGTTCTTAGAACATATTTTTGTTACCTGGGCTAATACAATATTTCAAAACCAACAAAATGTGATAATTCCAATTATAATACTCCAATAAAACTGATATACTATTGAACATGCTGTTTTGTTTATAAGGTTAAAAATAAATATTATTAATCATTTAAAACAATGAATATTTCATTTATATACTATATACTAGCAGTGAAATAGATCATGAAAAATGAATGATGACATGAGGAACGATCACGAGTCTCACATCTCTGATGTTCTTACAGTGTTGATCAACTCACTGCTGCTTCATGTGAACACTGGGAACAGGGACACTCCCTGCACTACTCAACATCTGGGAGCAATAAAAATCACACACATACAAACACGCTGGTATTTCTTTCTAACATGACGGGGACTCTCCATAGGCGTAATGGTTTTTCTACTGTACAAACTGTATTTTCTATCCTCTTACTCTAACCCTACACCTAAACCTACCCCTCACAGAAAACTACAGGCATTTTGAGATTCTCAAAAAACTTCATTCTGTATGATTTATACACTTCTCTCTCACACACACACACACACAGGCCGCATTAGCAGAGCTTGATTCATTATGGAATTCATGATCTCCTGCAGTTCATCAGCTGAATAAATCTCTGGGAATGTCTGTGTTCACTGCGCTCTCTGTGCACCTCATTCCTGCACAAATCCAATTTAACAATTATTTACAAAAATGTGACTTCAGCTGAGTGTGACTCCATTAACCCGCTTGACTCCATTAACCCTTTACAACCACCAGATCAGGGTCAAGTACATGGACGGTTCATAGAACATTTCATACACAATGGTAATTCAAAGTGCTATACATGAAAAATAAAAAAAAATAGTAAATTGTGATATGAATTTTATATTAGTGAATAGTGAATTTTAAAATGCATGCAACATAAGTATAAAAAATTTAAAAAGAAAACATTTTAAAAAGGCATGCATCATAAGTATAAAAATAGTCATAAATAGGTGTTTTAAAATGCGAGCATCATAACTTTTAAAAAGAAAAAGAAAACACGAGAAATGCATGCAACATAAGTATAAAAAATAAAACATTTTAAAAGGCATGCATCATAAGTATAAAAATAGTAATAAAAAGACGTTTTAAAATGCATGCATCATAACTTTAAAAAAATTAGAAGAAAACATACGAGAAATGCATGCATCATAAGTATAAAAATAGTAATAAAAAGACGTTTTAAAATGCATGCATCATAACTTTAAAAAAATTAGAAGAAAACATACGAGAAATGCATGCATCATAAGTATAAAAATAGTAATAAAAAGACGTTTTAAAATGCATGCATCATAACTTTAAAAAAATTAGAAGAAAACATACGAGAAATGCATGCATCATAAGTATAAAAATAGTCATAAAAAGAACATTTTAAAACTGTATGCTTCATAAGCATAATAAAGTTCTATGCCTTTTAATGAATGTATAAATGTTCCGTTTGACTGGACATCTACCAGAATCTATCCATCTATATGAATATCTATCCATCTCAAACTCCAGTTTTAGCACAACAGTTGACAGACAGGTGAGTGGGCGGAGCTTCACATGGGTTTCTGAACATGTTGCTGTGAATGTGATTCTCTACACCTGTGGTTCCTCGGCTGCACACCTGTGTGAATGTCGTATAAACTCTATAAACTTCAGACCTCATATGTTTTCTCAACACTTCAGCCTGATTTATACACAAGGCTGACCCAAAATATATATATATATATAGCTGCCCCAGCGAACATCAGAGTTGATAAACACACCCGA